AACTGGTGTAAAATTCATAGGACGGTGTCTGGAACATCGTAAAAGTACTCTATACGTAGCAGAGGTATTGTTGTCACCACTAACTAAGCTTTAGAGAGTGCGTGCAACATGCAGGCACTGCATATGTGTTAATTCAATAAATCCACATAACCCCACCACTCTGTGAATATTGCACAACTATGACCTCCCTTTGACAGAGGAGGAACTTAAGGCACAGAAAGGTTAAGTAACTTCCCCACAATTACATAGCTGAGAAGTGGCAAATCCGTGAGTCAAGCCCAGAGCCTCCTTGTCCAGAGCCTGCAGTCTTAGCCAGTGTGCCAGAGAGCTGTGCTCTCCAGTACTGTAGCCAGCAGCCACATATGTCTATTTAAATTTAAATTAATTAAAAGTAGATGAAATTAAGAATTCAGTGCTCCATTTGCACTAGCCACATTTCAAGTGCTCGATTGCCTCATGGGCCAGTGGCTACCATATTGGACAGTGCAGGTTTAAAGCACTCTCTTCCTTCTAGGAGGATGATTCAGCATCATCTCAGAACATTATGTGGGACACTGCTGCTTAGAGAGCTGCTGGGATTCTATTCCTTACAAAATCTCAGACTTGAGTTGTATAGCTGTCTTGTATTGTTATTAATAGACACATGGTTGTTTTATATTGAAATCCCGTTTGCACTTGGCCAAGTAAGGTAATGACAAGCAAGAGGCCAAGAAGTCTGACTCCCATTACATTTTCCTGGTTTCCTAATGCATTCCTTCAAATTTACAAAGTTGTCTCCGGTCACCTCTGTTTGACATGTAGGGACATCCACCAATTTTCCCAAAGATCCAGCTTCTTGCATAGCTCAGCCTTGACCTGTTTGGGCTATCGGCATAACATTTAGTAACCTTGCATGTTCATCTCACTAGTGACTTGAACAGCTGGGGCCGGCTTCTGGCCTCTGAGAGTTGCTAGCACATGCGCCAAGTCTTCAGTTCCCTCTCCTGGGCTCTCTCTGCTCACCTCTGTTACATGGGTAGTAAAGACCAGAGACAGAAAAGCATAAGTTCAGGATTTGTTGCATGAGCTCCCAGGATGATTAAGTCTAGAAATCTACAAGCTCCCAGAAGCCAGTGGAGTTATAGTATACAACTATAACCTTCCAAATGCACATGTACCTCCTGAATCTCTGTGGCAGAGATTGAATCAGTATCCAGTCCAGTCAATAATTTATAAAGTCAGAGCAATCACCTGCTTCTTGCAAAGCAGCTGACTATCTATGAGGGTTAGTCATAATCTGAAATCCTTGCTCCAGAGCCCCGTTGAGCTATGGTGATGTCATGGGGTAGCCAACAACAGGGCTCTTTGCTCCAGTGTGAACGAAGGAGGACAGCTGGCTGGTCCTCTCCGTGTGCAAAGAAGGCGCCTCTGTACTTCCCAACTCGGGAGTTACGTGGGTTTTAGTCACTCTGTAAGTCAGATCCAGGTCTGTACCCCACCTTGCCACTGTGTAGTGGGTAAACCTATCTCCACTTCCTTGTCTTGTAAACTAGGGACAGTCTCCAATGCATGTGCGCACAGAGTTCAGTGCCCAGCACACAGTGCATGCTCAGCAAATGTGTTAGCTGATGCTAGTTTTACGGTGTGATTATGATCCCTCCCTGTTATACCAGTGGGTTTTAGTAACCCAACAGGATTGAAAAAGGCTGAGTAGATGTGCTTAAATGAAGGTCAAGGCTCAGTTTATCATTGACATTCATCCCAAAAAGAGTCCAGCACAGCACTCACCAGATTGTCATCTCCCAAATGCCTGGGACATCATGCCAAGCTCAGACAGAGTAAAGTCGATTGAGGTCTCCAAGTATTTGCTGAGCCCTTGCCTGTGCCAGGCACTGTCTGGGCACCAGAGGGATTTAGAGGTGACTAAGACTTGGTCCAGCAAGGACGTTCAGTCAGCCAGAGGTGTTCAGCCACAGGAGCTGAACCAAAGGAGAGGCAGAATTCCCAGGGTGGAGGAGCTCGATCTTGAAGGCCGTGCAGCATTCCCAGGGTGGAAGCTTAGAGAAAGGACATTCCAGGCTGGGTGAACCAAGGAGCACAAGCACAGAGGGCCGAACGCATGTGGCAGCCAGTCTGGAGAGCTCTGAGGAGATCAGTGTGACGGGAGGGGAGAGGACAGGACACTATGCAACACACAGCCTGGCTACTGAGAGGTCAGGTAGCCAAGGGATGCAGAGCCCTCAGAGAAGAGCTTAGCAAGATGTGCTTCCGTCCCTAGGCAGCCGCAGGCCATTGGAGGACTTTTCATGGGTGGGGCCCTGGGCCAACATCCTTCCAGCAAGCTGTTTGGCCATCATGCGAAGCCCAGGGTCCAGGGTACTGAGTGGGTGTGAGCTCTGTGAAATCGGGCACCTCTATCGGATACTACCCATGCCATGGTCTATTTCTATGAAATTTGAAGTCATGTGGAACCAGCCTACCAGTTACTGATTGACTTGCTTCTCCAAGATTTTCAATGATTCCAGAGAGAGAGAGATGGATTTACCTTATGTTTGGAAACTTCTAGGAGTTGAAATGTCCTAAAAACCTTTTCTTTGGAAGTTGGGCCTCATGCCTATAGGGTATGGGATAAGCAATTCCTTTTCCAAATTAGATAAAATGGAAAAGACGCACGAGCATCAGTTATAAGGCCCCTTGTCGGTCTGAGTCAAGACTGAATCTCATCTATTTTATTTGTTTCGTTTTCTAACTGGGGATTGCGAAGTGCCTGCCTGTCTGCTCCACTTGACTGAGTGGCTCCAGGCTCACTCCCAGTTGCTGCTGAAACAGAACTGCCCACACTGTTGGGACATCTTCCGCCACTGGGAATTTCCATGTGCCATCTGCAGTTTTTTCTGCCTGATGAACTACTGGGGCACTGCAAGCGTATGCTAATGCTGACGGGGGGTCCTGTTTCTTGACCCATCCCTAATATCCTACAAGTCACATGAAGCCATCAGGGATTCCTGCGCAGAAGCTTAAAATGCTTCAGTTCCCTACAAATAAGCCCATTCATTGCTTATAGACTGTGTTGTCATGGAGTGAGCAAGCAATCAGAAGCCTAGTAATATTTGCATATTGGGATTATAAAAACTCCAATGTAGCTACAAAATAATGTTTAAAATTATCAAGGAGCTAGGTATGCAGGCATAAAGAATTGTCAATTGTTGAAGGCGACATTTCAGCTCATGTTCCAGCTGACCTTGATCCAAGGACAAATTGGAGCTTACTGAAATGAAGCTGCAGCTGGCCAGTGAGCTCAGCTCTGTGCTACTGAGCCACCGTCAGAAAGAAGAGAGGGTTCGTTTCACAATGCACTCTCTGCTTGATAAGAATATTTCGGGTTGTTTTTTGGTTTCAGTTTTGTTTTGTGGGAGGAGTGTCGCTTCTAAAAGTCTCTAGGTAGTTAGGTCGCCTTCCTAGTCCCATCTTTAAGTATTCATCATTTGTTCTCAAAAATTTGTCTGGAACCCCCTTGTAAAGCATCACCCATACTTTTCTTAATGGCATATTTTAACAGTTTCTACATTTCAAAACTTGTTTTCCACGTGGCAAGTTAATGACTGGACACACACGCGCGCGCACACACACACACACACGCACACACACACACACACGCACCATGGCAAACTCTATCTGAGCATGGCAACCAGGCAAACCTGGGTTTGCATCCTGCTCTGCTGCTAACGAGTTGTGTGACTTTGGGCAACTTAGTTAACCTCTCTGAGCCTCAGTGTCATCTGTGAAATAAGGACAGTGATAGCTCCTGCCTCATCCGGCTGTATGGGAGGGCTGAGTGAGACTGAATATTGAAAGCACTTGGGTTAGGGCCTGGTGCGCAGCAAATGCTCGATAAATTCAGTGGTGGCGATTTTTACCGTTCTTTCAAATAATGCATCTGAGTATCTCCTGGCCCATCATCCATTGCAGAGACATGCCTCTGGTAGGTGCTTAGTAAGTGTTTATTGCAGTGAATTGAATTGACTCAACTGTTTAGCTTCGCCTTGGGGATAAATATTTCCCTTTCTTCTGGGATGTTCAGTAGGAGAGGCGGACGATCACTCGCAGCTCAGGTGTTAAGAGGAAGGCAGGGGAGCCCGAGGCCGGTTCTCGTAGAAAGGAGGACTGCTCTTGCAGGCAGGCTCCCTCTCCTTGGATGGCACTGTGGCCAAGCGCTTGGTGTGCCCGTCAGGATGCCAGGGCTATAGCAGCAGCTCATTCGAGTCCTGAAGTCCCGAAGCTTTCTCTGACACGATTATGAAGTGTGAGGTTTTCTAATTGCCTTCGGCTTGAAGAATTGGGTCATATGTTCAATTCTGGTGAAATCCCTGTCTTCTAAAACGTGATGGCAAGGGGAGGCCCCACCCACACCCGAGTCCTGAAAGCTTCGGGGCCCCGGCAAGGTGAAGAGCAGTGAGGGCTGCCGCTCAGGATGGGGCTGTTGTGAGATTGACGCTTGACTCTTTGGTTTTGCAGATTCCTCCGCATGTCCACACACACATACCTACAAACCAGTTTAGAATTGTGCGCTCTGTTGGGGAGGGCAGGGGGCGGAGGGAGACCGGCATTGGTCAAGGCGCTTGCCAATGAACCAGCTGTCTGACCTAGCTTTACTCCCGTTTCCAGGAAGACAGTGACTGATCGAGGCAGAGGATCCTTAACTGAGATCCACGGATGGGTACTAAGTGGTCCAGAAAACCCGTGAAGCTATATGTAAAATATTGGTGGGTTGGGAAGAGGGAGACACCACTGTAAGTGTTTTTTCTGTGGAGAGAGACCATAGCTTTTAACAGATTCTCAAAGGTGTCTGTGACCCAAGACAATTAAGACCGCGAAGCTGCTTGGTTTTGTTGCCCCAGGCCAGTTGGTGTGTATAACCACAGCACCCAAACGACCCAGCTAGGCAATCAGGGCAGTGACGAGATCAGTGAGAATCATTGTGTGGCCAAGCAGCTGATGGACTGTTCAATCGGTTGTTGTAGACTCATGTAGACAAAGCCTGCAAGCTTGGGGAAGCCAGGCCCCCCCAGGTCAGCCTCGGGCGACAGCCCCCATCCTGCCAGGCCCTGGGGAGCGAGTCCTTCCTGCCCGGCAGCTCCTTTGCTCATGAGCTGGCCCGAGTCACCTCCTCGTACAGCACCTCAGAGGCAGCGCCCTGGGGCGGCTGGGATCCGAAGGCCTGGAGGCAGGTGCCCGCTCCACTACTGCCTAGCTGCGACGCCGTAGGTAAGTCACTTCCCCTGAGCCTCGCTTTCCTCATCTGTCAACTGGGGTGCAGTCCCCTGCTCAGCCTGCCCGCCTGCCTCACAGGGTTGTTGGGAGGAAAACAGGAGGTGACAGCCCATAAAGCTCTGCACACCTATGAGGGATTTCTAGTGCTTTCTCTACTGTGTCCCAGCCAGTCTTTGGCAAAGTGACCACCCAAGCGAGCAGAATGCTCCGGGCACCTCAGCCTCAACTCCAGGGAAATGAGTGGGGAATGCCCTGGGTGCACTTGCTCCCTCCCTGCCGGACGCCTGCCAGCACCCCAGTTCCTTCCCTGCCTGTCTGTCCCTGTGGCCAGTCTGGGAGCCTGAGGGGTACAGGGGCTGCGATTCTGTACCTCCAAATCCCCCCAGTGCGTGCCTGCTCCATACCCCGTGGGTGCTCAGGAACTGCCTCTCCCGCCAGCCATCTGCTGTGGACTCCGCACCCCGCGGTGTTCTCTGACTCCACCCAGGACTCTCGCACCCTCTAAGTGGGAAATTGGATCGCCCCACTGGAGGACTGGCAGCCTGGGAAGGGCAGAGAGAAGGAACCCAAGTCAAGCCTGTCCAAGAGGGCTGTGAGATTGGATCATCCTCCAGAGTCTGGAAGGAATGGCTTGACTTGCCCTACAGAGTCACGTTAGTGGTCACGAGAGCAAGATGGTGGACACCAGCCAGAGTGGGCCTCTACAGGGAATTTCATTTGGATCGTGGAGTTGTTGTTGTTCTGGCACATGAAATATCAGTGTGCACAGGATGCCTGCCTTATCTGCAGAGAAAACTGGAGAACTGAGCGTTTGCTAAGTGATAGTGATCAGAAGATGGTCATCAAGCTGAAAGGGCCTCCGGGATTCTGGCCTTTAATGGAAATGCTGCTTTGGTACGTAGGGCCTTGCTCTCTTCCTCCCGCCTGCCCTGGCCTGGAAGAACAAGCAGTGCTTTCCATTCAAGGCCTATTGATCTTCCTCTCTCTCTGTTTCTCCCCTTTTCACTCACTGTGTACTCTCCGAGAAATCTTGTCTGGCACAAAGCTGCCAGGGAAGCAGAATTAGCAAAATGGATGGGGACATCGTCCACTCAAGATGTCGCTGTGTTCCACCGGGTCTGCCCTGCCCTTCCCTGTCCTCAGAAGTCATAAAATGAGAGGATCCCAGCTAGCTTGCCTTGCGAATTCCTCTCCCCGACATTGTGCTGTCTCTTCCCAAGCCACTGCCTCCCACTCAGCAGTGGAGGGCAGGGCAGATGCTTGGCCCCCAAATCTTCCCGAAGAAGCTTTGGAAGTTGGGCCCACCTGGAGGGCTTTCAGAGACAGGACCTTGCCAGCTCAGTCGGTGACGCAGGAAGGCCAGACTCAGTGCGAGATGCAGGACGCAGGCAACACGGGAAGAAGAAAGGCGAGCTGCAAAGACATTTGTTTCCTCTGCCCCAGGATCACTCCCAGCAGTTAGACCAAGCCCTTCTGGCCCTAGGTAGCCCTGAAACCCCTGGGATGGAGGAGGAGTCAGGCAGTTGGAGATCAAGTGGAAAGACGAAATGGAAAGCGTAAAAGCTCACCTACAGCTCTCTGCCGTTCGCTTTTGATGGCATTGATTTCGTGAAGCCCCTAGAGACAGCTTCAGAGGGGTCAGACCCAAGGGTAGCACCATCACGGGGATGGGGGCATCCCCTGGCTCCTGCTCTGGAGGCCCAGAGGGGCCAAGAAAGACTCCAACAGGTCACTGCTGCCCCAGGTTTCACCTGGCTTAGAGAATGGTGTGCCAGGTTCTGAGTCGCCTTCAGGGTCCCCTGCTGACCCACTGCTGATGCCTTCACTCTGTCCAATTTTCTTTAGAAGACGTGTCACCATCTGGAGTGATCTTTCCTGATCAATTTACTTGTGTCTTGTCAGTCTCCCCCTCCATTGTAAGCTCCATATGAGTAGAGACACACAGTGCTGTCTCCTTTCCTGGGACAGGGCCTGGCCCATGGCAGACCCATGAGAAATGTTTGTCCACTGACTGACAGAGGGACTCACTGGGCTGCCAAGTAAATAAACCCTGTCTTCCCATCTGGTATTTGCGCAAGTTCATTCTGGGGGCCCCAGAGTTAGTGAAGCCCACGTCTCCTGGCTGCACTCTGGCCAGGGAAAGGTGTTGAGAGCAAAGGCAATCCAAAGGGCAGGTGTTGCGGGCCTGGCCCAGTGGCATAGTGGTTCAAGTTCGCACGCTCCGCTTCAGCCCGGGGTTCACTGGTTCAGATCCGGGGTGCGGACCTACGCACCACTCATCAAGCCATGCCGTGGCAAGCGTTCCATGTAGAAAGTAGAGGAAGAAGGGCACAGATGTTAGCTCGAGGCTAATCTTCCTCAACAAAAAAAAAAGAAGACAGGCGTGGGGCAGGCCCTCCCAGGTCTTGGCCTCAGTGATGCACACACAGGGAGGAGAAGTGGCCTGATGATACACTCATCACTCCCGATGGCCCTGCCTCCTCTGGAGGCACTCTGGAGAAACTGAGTCCCAGGCTCTGAGGAGAGACAAGGAACCAGTGAGCCTCGCCTGCTGTTCGCTGTAGGAAGCCTCTGTAGTTTCTGAAGGACACCTGAGGGGAGTTTTCGGCTAAGAGCAGCCACACCCCCCAAACAGGGCTTCTGATGGAAAAATTTCTGTTGCCTCTGTCCATGGGCCATGGTGAGCCAGAGCCCTGGGTCTGAGGTGTGCCCATCCATATGGGTGTGGGAGCCTCCAGAATTCAGGTCTTGATCTTGTGGTCTCCATGCAGAATGCTGTCTTTCTGCCATTTCATAAGAAAATTCAGAAGGGTGGGTGAGTTGTTTCCACACCTGGCTCCCGAAAACTACAAAAGAAGATGCTCTTCCTAGTAGAGTAATAAACAAACAAACTCATACCCTAGAGCTCTTTAATCTTTGAACCCTTAATACACAGCTGAGTGCCTGCTGCTGCATGGCAGGCTGGCTCTGGTTGAGGGGGCGCTCACGGGGCAGTGTCTGCTGGGAAAGGAGGCAGGAGTTTCCCAGTGGCAGGGGCGGAAAAAGAAATCTCTCCCTCCCTCCCTGCCCCTTCCACCTCCTCCTCCTCCCCCATCCCCCTCCTCCTCCTCTTCCTTGTTTTCTTCCTCCTCTTACCCCTCCTCTTTCCCCATTCCCTTCCTCCTCTTCCTCCTTCTCTCTCTCTCCTTCCCTCCCTCCTCCCTCCCCCCCACCCCCCCGCCCCCCCCCCCCCCCCCCCCGCCGCTTCTCTCTCCTTCCCTGCCTCAATGTGCTGTACAAAATACCGCTTTGGATCCATTCCCCTCTGTCCGCTAGAAGCCATTCCATCGGGAGCCCCTTCCTAGTCAGAATGCTCTTCTCCTGGGGATCACAGAGGGAGTAACTTCAGTCTGAATCCGGCTAAAATCTAGGAACCCTTTGTGGGCGTCTGTGTGTGAGTCCTGCTGATCATCTGCCCTTCTGCCTCTGGCCCGTCCCCCATCCAATTAGATAGTCCCTTTGCCTGATTCAGTGGTTAATCAGGAATGAGACCGTTCTTCCCCTGCAGTGCTGAGAGGAAGCAGCCAGGTGATTGCTCTGGGGCTTACAGGAGACATTCGCCCGTGGTGGCTGAAAGGGTGAAGCTGACACAGTGCCTGGCCTTGCCCACTGCTGGGCCCTGGGTTGGGCAGTGGTGGGGTTTGGGCCTGGCCCTTCACCTCGCCCTCCTACCTGGCGCTCACAGATGAACGCGAGACCTTCCACGAGCCCCCAGAACAGGCGGGGGCTGTGCAGCTCCCTGGGCGTCAGTGTGAAGTTCTAGAAAGGCAGCCCTAGGACTTTCCTGGTCGCCATCCTGTCTGAGACCTTTCTGCGACTGTGGCCACGGGGCTGAATGTGACTGGGGGCAGGTGTGACAGGGAAGAGCCGGGCCCTAGTTCTCTGGGAGACTTCCTGTTGACCCCAGCCCCAGGCTCACAACAGTGACCACCATGGGGGAAGCACACCTAGGCACACACAGGGCCCACCTGGAGCTGCCCTGTCAGTGTCACCTGGCACAGTAGGACCTAGCACCATGACAATTGCAGCTCTAGAAAAAGGAGTCCTTTGGTGGCCTCCTCCATAACTGTGCTTATGGAAAGCCGCAGGTTGCCTGGGCCAGCCTTCACGAGTGTCCGGCACCAGGCAGCAACTTTCAGCCGCCACTTCCTCCTGGTCACTGAAAACGTTTGTCGTTTCCTGTTTTCTCCATTTTCCAACGATTCTAATTGTCAGTGTCAAAAGGCAACAACTGTTTTCTTGGGGCTTATCTTTGGAGCACATGGATTCAGAACAAAGGATGGGGGCCCTGTCTGCAAAACAAAGGAAGCAGCCTCCTCGGGAGGCTTGGAGAGAAAGCTCGGGCTCACTCTGCCAGGGACCACACGACCGGGCAGGGGGCGGAGTGCCGGCGGGCCCCTGGACGCAACACCCCAGGCGCGTGAAGAGACCCCTGCTTGATGGCGGCGCCCCAGGACGCCGGAGGCCCACCCCCAAGGCGAGGTGGCAGCTGCGCTGCGTGGACCCGGGAGTTTCTGCAGCCGTGCCATTGGCCGGATTTTCCCTTAAACTCTGGATGCTCTGGATTTCGTGCTTCCTTGGACAAACGTTCGCCAACATCTCGTTGTTCCTGTAACCCTGGACTGTTTGAGAAGCCTTTCTTTCATCTGGCAGACACTCCCCAGTGCCTCCACCCTTGACTCCTGCCCAGCCCAGCCTTCCGTTTGTTCCTATGCCCTGGGGGTCTTTCCTCTCTACCTCCGGCCCTTTGGACTCTCCTGGCCATCCACTGCTTTTTCCTTGGTCACGCTCTAGCCTCCACCTGCCCCACCCTCACACCTGTACATCTGCGTTACTAGATGAAACTAATGGGGCAGCCAGTGGGGCCAGAGTTAGGATCCGTGTAGACCTAGCCAGCCACAGGAGCCAGTCCCCAGAAGCAGGCTGGAGAGGCGGGAGCACTGGGTTCATGTTGCTTTGGTCTAGTCATTTAACCTCTCTGAGCCTCAGACGTCACCTCAGTGAGCTGGGGACCAAAAATCTGCCCGGATCCCCCAGGGCTGGTGTCAGGGACCAAGTGAAGAACAGACGTGAAAGTGCTGCCTTCTGAAATGCCCACCCATCCCAAGCAGCTCGGACAGACCCAGTGCTCCTCTACGCCTGATGGTGTGGCCTTGAGTGCTCACGTGGCCTCTGTGTTCCTCAGTGTCCAAAATGGTAATGCTGGGATAACAGCGGAGCCCACCTCGAAGGGTTGTTGCTAGACAATGTGAAGTACTGGGTGTGGGGTGCTCAGTATGTGAGCAGGCCTAGAGGCGGGCGTGTCCCCACTGCCCATATGTCAGCAGGCCCGGGGGAGGGGGCGAGCGCCCGGACAGGAAGCAGGCTCAGGGCGGGATGGCGAAACCGCTTGTGGTGTAGTCCACCCAGTGCCATGTGTTCGGCCTCTCTGCCTTGGCAGGAACTGAGGCTAGGAGCTGCCGCCAGGCCTGGGAGCTGGGCACTGTCCCAAGTGCAGGCCCTCCACCCCGCCCCTGACCCACGCCTGCCCCGCCGAGCACAGAAGAGCAGGCCCAGGGGCAAGCAGTCCGTGCTGTGGAGCCAGGTCTCCTGGCATCTGGGGGGACACAGCTCAGAAAGTGGACCTGGGCAGGGGGCTTGCTCCCTGACGGAGCTGCCTAGGTTGTCGGTACAGTAGTAAGCAGGCTTCTTGAGAAGGGGAGAGAGATGGTAGTGAGCACTGGATTGGGAGTCAGTCCTGGGTCTCAGTCACAACCTGGAACTGAATGGCTGAGGATCTCAGGGGGAGGCGTGACTTCCCTGGGCCTTCATCCGGTTCTTTCCTGGCTGTTCCCTTGAGCTGCTCCCAGACTCAGTGCTGGGACTGCGGCCCTGAAGCTCGGCTCCTCCCCTGCCCACCCAGCTTGGAGATGGAGACCGGAAGCCAGGCCCAGTTGCCCATGCTGCAGCCAGTCAGCAGAATGAAGGGAAGCTGGCACTGAGTGGCTACTTGGGGTGTCGGACAGTGCATCCATCTGACCGTGTGATCATCTTGCTGTTCATGCCAGGACCACCCAGAACAAGCCTCGGCCCTTTTTCCATGACAGCCCTGCAGAGGCTGGGCACCTCCCACCACAGAGCCCAGAGTCTGCTCTGCCCCAGCCCTGGCATCCCTGGTTTGCTCAGCCATTCATTGTCTGCGTGGTTTGGAGTCCAAACCCTGTCCCCGTTGCTTAGTGTCCTCTGGATGCAGCCAGTTCGTCTGGGTCTCCCTGAGACTGGCACGCCCAGACTCGTGTCAGCACTGTAGACGCGATCTGGCCAAGGCAGAGTAGTGTAGGACTGTCACCTCCCTCCTTCTACATACTCTGCTTCTATTAATGCAGCCTAATGTTACATTTGCTCTTTTGGTGATCACATCTCACTGCTGACCCATCCTGAGCAGAAGGACATCCAAAATGCCTAAATCTTTTTTCTATGCGCTCTTGCTGTTAAGCTCTGTGTCTCCCGCCCCATCCTATGCTGTCACAGTTGGTTTTTTAACCCAGGTGCAGAATCCTGCTTTTATTTATACCTGTGGAATTTTGCTTGGGAGGGTGGGGCATGCATGCAAGTGTGTGTTGGTGTGTTCACTCATGCTTTCTGCTACACCAAAGCCAAGTCCTGGGTCCCCACACAGCGATCCCAAGGCTAATATTTCTCGGTAGCCATAAGCTAACATGTCTTTTTCATCTTCTGTTTAGCAAGAGAAACAGAGATCAGGTCTTATGGCAATGACCCCTGAACAGCGGAGTACATGTGTCGCCCAACAGATGAGTCAGTTTCAAGGTAAGTAGTTGAGGTCCATAGTCCTAAAGGGGTGGGCCAGAGGGTACCTAGTGAGGGTGCGGTGAGAATTCGTTCCAGAGCAAGCAGTGAGGGAGAGAGGAGAGGTCTGGAAGTCAATGAAATAGCACCCAGGTTGGATCTCTCACGCTGAAAGCTTAGGTAGGATCGCAATTGAAGGCCGGGTCTTAATGACTCCAAAATCACTGTTTGATTCAGGAGATTGATTAAACTGAGTAAGGCGCCTTACAGCAGTTATTCTCAATGGGAGAGAGGTACACCCCAGGGTTCTGAGCCTGCCCTTCTTCTCCCCAACCCCCCATCCGCCGCTGCTGGAGTAACTTCCGTTCTAATGGGGTCCTGGGCCATCTCTCAGGTGTGGGCCATGAATATGGGGTTGGAGAAGCTCTGCCTCAAGGAGACCATGGCAAGGGCTCCCCAAGCCTCAACAGATAGCAGGGGTCCCCACCCGACCACGGCCCTTATGACTGTAGTCAACATTTACTGGTCGGGATACAGCTATTAGCGAAAACCAGGCATGGGCCCTACTTGGTGGAGCTTTCCGACTAGCCGGGGAGACATGCGTTAAGCAACCCTTAGCAACCAGTAGTGACACTGGGCCAGGCCAAGGGTACTCTCGCTCGGGGGCTCAGGAGAGGCTGCTTGCCCTCCAACAGGTGTCAGCATCTTTATTTTAGCCCAGTGCCACCATTGCAGCATTGCTCCTTCATTCTCGTGCAAAATCCCTTGTTCCTTGGGCCTAATTCCAGCTGAATGTACCACCTGCCCAGGCTGGAGTGGCACATCAGGCTTCAGCTGCAGACACAGGGCAGACAAGTTCCAAGCAGGCCAGTGTCAACGGCAGGCATGTGTCAAGGGGCGGGTGGTACCAGGCCTGCATACGGAGAACTGAGGAGGATAGCAGACCCAGCCCCTCGCCCTGTGGAGCTTACAATCTACTTGAAAGACAGACAGATAAGCTGGCATTTTCAGTGCAATGTGATCTGCTCTCGGTGGCGGGGCCAGGGGTGGGCTGTGAGCACAGAAGAACTGCAGTCCAGGCTGAAAGTGGAGGAACAAGGGAGTTGAGAAGAGTTGAGGTGCAGGGGACGCTTAGTAGGAGCCCGGGGCAGGAGGTGAGAGGTCAGTGCTAGGCTGGCAGCTCCTCGCCAGCAGCTGTGGCCCAAGGTGAGGACACCTTTGGAACTCATTCCCACTTCTCTCTTTCTATAGCCGTCCAAGAGCAAGTCACCTCCAAGTGTAGCCGGACCAAGGCAAGCCCCCCATCCAGCCAGCACATGATGCCACCCAGAGCTGGGCTCCTTCAGAACCCTCTGAGTCCAGGAATGACCCCACCCACCAGGCACCAGAGCCGTGAGGGCATGGGCATGATCCCACCGACGCCAGGCAAGCAGCAAGGAATTTTCAGCTCCCGCCCCCCATTTCCCATACCCCCCCGCTCAGCCCAGAACCCCCTGGGCAGCCTCAACTCTGTCTGCCGGCGTATGCAGATTCCCAGGGCCACTCCCTCAGGAGTACCCCTGCCTGGGTTCTGTCCCAGCCCCCTGGGCAGCCAGCCCCTGAGTCCCCACCAGCTCAGACAGCCCTGTGTGCCAAGAATGTCCACCATGTTCAACAATGCTGCATGGGCGGCGGCGGCAGTAGCTGCTGCGACCACAGCGAGCTCTAGGGAACCAGCCCCAAGCCAAGTAGATAATAGCATCCAGCAGCATTTTGATAGCAACTCAATGTTCGCCAAGGCACCCGTGAGAGTGCCCCTGGTGGCCCCAGCCTTTCCATCGCAGCAGGCAGTTGTGCCCCCCAATCAGGTAGCCCCAGGAGGCAGGCCTGGCCAGAAGGTGAGTGCCACCCTGGCCAACCCCAGCTTCAGCCTGCTGGGCAGCCAGAGCCTCAGACAGAGCCCGGTACGGGGTCCCGTGCCTGTGCTGAACGCCACCAAGTCCCTCCAGCAGGGTATGGCCAGCTTTGGTCCCATGAGTCCCATACAGGGCATTGAGCCGCCAAGCTATGTGGCCGCCGCCGCCGCTGCTGCTGCTGCCTCTGCCATTGCTGCCAGCCAGTCCCCAGGCCCATTTAACAGGATGGGTACCCCTCCTGAGCTGCCACCCTACGACTTTTTGCCCCAGCCCCAGCCCCCACTGAACGATCTGATTTCCCCACCTGACTGCAGTGAGGTGGACTTCATTGAAGCTCTCTTGAAAGGCCCCAGCGCAAGCCCAGATGAAGACTGGGTGTGCGACCTGAGGCTGATCGATGACATTTTGGAACAGCATGCTGCTGCCCAAAATGCCGCAGCCCGGAATGCGGGCCAAGTCACCCAGAATGCTGTGGAGCTTTAAACGCCCCTAGAAACCCTCACGCCGGCATCACTCTAGGCAGCCGCGTGAAGCCACAGCAAGTTCACTGCTGGCCTCACAGCCACGCAGTCGTTTCCTTGTTATAATTCGAGTGGCATCAGCCCATGCCCATCCCTCGCTCTACCTGTGACAAAATGGAAAGCTGGTGATTTTTCAAGCTACCTGTACATATTTGAAAATTTTGTAAATGGTTTTCCTAAACATTAATGACAGAAGTATTTATACTTCGTTTTGTGACTTTGTAAATAAAGTGACGGCTTTCGTTTCAGTAGTTGTGTTTATTCCGCATTGTTTGTGTTTATTCTACATTGTTGCAAATACGCAGACTGTGCTGTTCGCTCCAGTGACACCTTATAAGCCAGGTAGCCGAGTCGCTGATGGTATTGCTGCAGTGAGAGATGTGGATATGACCAGGAGGTGTTGTGCAGACTGACACATGCCAAACAGAAAACCACTTGGCCGTTTATTTCCATTTTCACAAAAAGTTCTATCGCCTTGTGTGATTCTTAGTCTCCTTTGCAAACCTGTCGGTCTCCGCTAGCTCCCTCCTGATGAGCACCACAGCAGAAGCCGTTTGGTCGTCAGTGTCCGCGGAGGACACTTGCAGGGCTGAGAGAGTTCTGTAGGTTTAGGAACGGGGAAGAGAGCGTGTGAGCTGAGCACTGTCTTTACCATCCACCTTGAGAATCTCGCGTGTCCTCCCTGTATCATCCAGACGGAGAGAAAACCTGGGTTTGCACTTCTCCAGCGGCACCTTTGCAGGGTGGAGGTGGGACGGTCATGGTTCGAAGCCTTTCAGTATTTGTTTTGATGTAAGGCTCTGTGGTTTGGGGGAAGAAAAGTCTGTAAACATTAATAGTTGATTTGCGGTTTGTCTTGATGGTTTCTATCTGCAATTATCGTCATGTATATTTAAGTGTCTGTTATAGAAAACCCACCTCCACTGTCCTGTAAACTTTTCTCAGTGTCCAGACTCTGTGTAATCACATTTTAATTGCCATCTTGTATTTCGCCTCTACATTTGAAATCTGGCATCTGTTTCCAGCCAGTGCGTTTTTTCTTCGTTCTGTAATAAACAGCCAGGAGAAAAGTGCCTCTATGTTTTCATTTCTCAAGGGAGCGTTCTGTCCCTACAAACCCCTGTCAGCCAAGCCTGCAGTGCCTTCGGTTCTTTCAAAGGCAACTGAATGTCTTGTGCATCAGAAGATGCTGCACCCAGGAGTGAGGGGTAAGCAGTCTGTGTAGCATGCGCTGTGATCGTGTCGCGTCACAGCATAGAAACACATCATTTTTGACTCCAGCCCCTCATTTTACAGAGGAGGAAATAGAGGGGACAGGAGGCCACTAAAGCAACTCTGCACTGGGGGCTGGAGACAGAGGGCGCCTCGCACTGAGAATCTAAACTCTCCACACCATTATCCTCTTCCCACTGAGGCATGGCAGACCCAATTAAAGATCCAGCTCCTCCCATGGAAGGGATGCCCATATAGGGTGGCTGGAGGTGGGAGGGACCCCAAAGCGAGTAACATGTCTGCTGCACAGGAGAGTGAAGTACTGTCACTTCACAAAGACAGCCAACAAGCCCTTGGTGAAGTCTCTGGGCAGCTGAGCATCCTTGGGGTGCCTGGTCCCTGGAGAGAAGAGGTCTCCCCAACTCCCCTCCTCTGGCTCCTCCTCCAAAGCCTAGGCTAAATTCAGCGGTGTCCGTCCTGAGTGCTGGAGCCAGAAGAGCTCAGCGGGCTGGGGTGCAGGGTCCACGGGGGTGCAGGGGGCAGGTCGAAGTCCCCATGGCTTGGCTTCAGGTCCAGGACTGCAGTGGCAGGAGAGTGATAGCTCCAGTTTGCCTGACTGTCCCACCTCTGTTGAGCTCCACCCCCTCCCTGGAGCCCCGCCCTCTGGAATCCCACTTTGGCCCTTTCCATCCGGACCTGCTGCGGGATCCCAGCCAATCTGGAGGCCCCGCCCCGGCCCCCTCCTCCCTCCCCCCTCCTCCCCTCTCCTCCCCACCAGCATTTGCAGCCAGCAGGTTGGCTGCTGATTGTTTCAGATTTAAACTGCAAAAAGACGACAGAGACTCCTGTCACCCCACACTCCAGCCATCTCCTCACAGCAAGAAAGTGGCTTCCACAGAGCTTCATCTGAATTTGGTTTATGGTTGAGCCTCATTCTGAAGGGGACCCTAATAAGATGGCTGGGACCTGTGCCTCTGCCACCAGGTGGCCAGGGTATGGCATGCAGGTGGGAGGGGTTGCAGATGGACCCACACCTCCCCAAAGGTGGCAAGGAAGCTAGTTGGAACCTTCTTCCCCCATGTGCTGTAAGAGTGCAGCTGAAGCCCCAGGTGGGATCCGATGCAGTCAAAATTGAATACATCACATTTATCCCCCTAACTGGCAGGGAGAGTCTATATTCTCGTCCTTGAGGTACGAAATGTTCTAACACAAGGGCACACTTTGGGGGCTGAGGGAGGCACGCACACTGAGGCAGGTTGTTCTGTCCAGCAGAACGTAAAGTGCTCTGAGAAGATGCCCCCACTCGCCACTCTTAATGGCTGTGACTGAGGGCAAAGGTCAGCAGGGGCCGAAGCAGGCCTCCCCAGCCCAGAAGCCAGAGGAGTCGTGGAAACAGTCATTACCCAAAAGCCCTGGCGCTCAGCCATCTGCTCACACAGGCCCCTCCTGCTTCCTGCAGAGCGATGCTCGCAGGTCTGGGTAATGGATGTGTCCCACGGGTGTCCCTCAGCTCCAGTCATCCCTCCTTGTCACAGTCTCTGCCTCTGTTCCCCCTGCCCCTCTCAGGCAGTGCCTCCTCAGGAGGCCTCCCCAGGAGCCATCCTCACTGTGGCTCCCACTGGTGCCAGGCCCCAGGCAGGCCCCTGCTTCCCCTCAGAGCCGTACGGGGCACTTGGGCCCACCTCTCCTGTCCCCTCTCTCCAGTGGGCCCAGGGGCCCTTCCCTGGCTCTGTGTGACCCACTGGCCCAGTGACCGTGCAGCTCACGGCCAGCCATTGGGGTGTTGAAGCCCGTGCCTGTAGATCCCCCAGGCCAGCCCTCCTACTGGGGCCTTCTCAGTCTGCCAGAGGGCTTCCAGGGTCACAGCTGTCCCCAATCAGCTCTGCTGGCCCTCAGAGCCCAAAATAAAAGACAAGCTTGGCCCACTGAGCTGGTTCCATCTTCCATTCCCAGAGGGTTCATTTCCCACCCCAACCACATGGTGACCTCAAGGCTGAGCCAGTGTGGGCAGCAGTGTAGATAGCTCCTTGAGCACTTCCTGCCACCTGACCTCAGCCTAGCCTCACTGCCTCCCAGTAGTCCTTTCCCTCTGGTCTCGGCGGCCCCTGCTTCTTCCTCCCAGTCGTGGCTGTCTCAGGATGCTCCTTCCTAGAGATGCCAGCCCCCATCATTCTGCCATCACTCAGCTCCCCTCCTTCCCGCACTGTCAGCCTCTCTGCTGGATTCTTCCCAAGCACTTTCAACTGGGCCATGTCAAAAAGACCCTCAACTCCACAGCCCATTTGGCTGGAGCTCGAGCTCTCTGCCCACCCCCCAGCCCCCCATGGAAGGAGTGGCAGCACCCTGCCTCCTCTCCCACTCACTCCTCGAACAGAGCCATCTGGCTCCATCCCTGCTCCTTCCCCGAAGTGCACTGGTCACAAAGCACTAACCTCCACCCGGCCATGAATCCAATGGAAGCTGTCCAGTCCTCGGTGGCCTTGCCCTTTCAGCAGCACTGGCCTCTCCCTTCTTCCAGAAAAGGACTGCCTCTTGGCTCCTGGGAGCCACAGTCCCCTGGGACTCTTCTCCTCTGGTCTGCAGCCTGGCCCTCTCTCCCGCCCTGAGGTTTATTCTCTCCTGCCCCTCTACAAGGAGATGTTGCTCCTTCCATCACTTTCTCTCACTCGACTGGGACTTCTTCACCCTCTCCCTATCTTTCAGTTTCTTCCTCCAGGCAGACAAACGGGTTCATGAGCCTGCACACCAGCTCTCAGCATCTTGGCAGCCTGGTCAAGAAGAGCATGGTGCATCGGGGCAGGGCCCTAATTTTAGGGGACTGCTGCTGGACTGGGTGGCACGTTGGGCTAAAGCCCTGTAGGCCCCTTGAGGAAAGAGTGACAGAGCTGCAGATGCCCCCCACGAAGAAGGTTCACCCTGCTCCTGCTGCAGACGGCAGCCGTGACTGGAGTCCCTCATAAGCCCCCAGCCTGTGCAAGGCCTTCAGCGAGACAGCTGGGAGGCAGAAGGCCCTCAGCTGCCCGTGGCTCCTGGGGAGCTTGCAGGTGTCCTGAAGGCCTCCCCCTGGGAGGTACAGAGAAAATCCAATCACTGGGGGAGGGGCTCCCTGCACACCCTATCCTGTCACTCCCCTGCCCAACTCTGAGGCCAAGCCCCGGGGGAAATGCCAGAAGTCCCCAGGGAGGTGTGTGAGACCCCAGGGCCTCCCTCCTCCATTATAGCAGGCTCAGGTCCCTGGAGGTCCCAGCGCCAAGGTCTGTGCGTAAGGTACTGTCTCTCATTTGCCCTTTAGCCTAGAAAGTCAGGGGTCTGGTGGTGGACATGGGGTTCTGAGGGAGCTCACACTGTCGGCTTCTCCAGTGTGTGGCCAGTCAGTGATTCAGCAAGCATGCTTGTTCCAGGCATGGGGAGGGAGACAGACACGGTCCCCAGCCTCATGGAGTCAACTGGAGGGAGGGTGTCCGTCAGGGTTATAGGAGAGAAACAGAACCAGTGGGAGATGTGCGTGTGTGTGAGTGAGTGTGTGTGTGTGTGTGTGTGTGTTTGGGTTATCCAAAGAAACAGTATTAATAGGAGATATGCGTGTGTGTGTGGAGAGAGGCGGGCTGCGGAGGGGGGAGAGAGATTCATTATGAAGAATTGACTCACATGGTTATGGAGGCTGAGAAAGCCCATGACCTGCCCCCTGCAGGCTGGAGACAGGAAAGCCCATGGTGCCGTTCCGGCGGAGTCTGAAGGCCTGAGAACCAGGGGAGCCGGCAGTATCGATCCCAGAACGAGGGCAGGAGAGGACAACATGTCCCCGCTCAGTCAATGGGGCAGGAGAAAAGAGGCTAATTCCACCTTTTTCTGTCTTTTGTTCCATTCAGGTTCTCAACAGATTGGAGGATGCCCACCCGCCCGCATTGGGGAGGGCCATCTGCTTTACCGAGTCCATTGATCCAAATGGCAATCTCCTCCAGAAACACCCTCACGGACACACCCAGAAACAAGGTTGAATCTGGGCAGCCTGTGGCCCAGGCAAGGTGACACAGAAAATCAAACATCATCTGTATATGATTAACTCTGTCTATATAGATAAATATAGATAGAGCTGTAGATAGATTTATTGCAGGGAATTGGCTTACACGACTGTGAGACTGGCTGAGGGGGTCGGAAATGCCCAGGACAGGCAGTCAGGGAGGGCGGGCTGCAAACTCTTAAAGCACGGGCCGACGCTGCCGTTCACAGGCGGAATTTCCTCTTTCTCAGGGGACCCTCACTCAGTTTGGCTCTTAAGGCCTTCGAGTTGATTGGCTGCGGCCCACTCAGATTATCCGGGATATTCTCCCTTACCTCAAGGCAACTGACGTAGATGTTAGCCACTCTACAAATTACCTTCACAGCAACACCTAGATGAGTGTTTGATAAAATAATTGACCACTATAGCCTAGCCGAGTTGACACATAAAACTAATCATCACAGGGGGACAGATGACAAACATGTTAACAAGTAAAACAGCAACAAGTTTCATTAAAGTCTACAAAGGAAACACCAAAGGAGTAGAGAGAGAAAGAGATGGGGAGAGACCCCAGTTTGGTGGGGCTGCTGGGGGTAGGGAGCAGCCCACTTACCTAGGGTGCTCAGGAAAGACATCTCTCCGGGAGTGAAATTGGAACTGAAATTAAAAGATAGGAAGGAGTAAACCGTGCGAAGAGCTAGAGCAAGGATGTTCCAGGCAGAGGGAACAGCAAGTACAAATGCTAGGAGGAATGGAAAAGAGGCTGGTAGGTGGGGCCCAGTGAGCAAGAAGAGGGGTGCAGAGAGGGGCAGGGCCGGACCACACAGGACTCTGGAGGCTATCTGCATTCCACAAGGGAAG